ACAAACGGGTGAGCAGCGGCACGGATTGGCAACGAGCCGGTCGCGCCCGGGCCCGCGCGTGCGCCGAACGGGCAAGCCGCGGGCCACGCGTGGCCAACCAAGGCCGTGCCGCAGGGCGGCACCAGCGAGAAAACCATACCCGCGAGCCCAGCACAACGACGTGGACGAAGGAAGGCGGCGGCAGACGGCGGCGGCGGCGGCGCGGAGCGGCGACAGCAGCGGCGCCGAGGGAAGCGACAAGCAACCCCGCCCGAGCGCCGAAGCAAACGGGGCGAACCAAGGCCACGAGGGCCGAGACGAGGGACGCGGGAAAGGGAGGAAAGGCCCGACGAGAAGCAGAGAAGGAGACAGGACGCGCGAACGCGGCGGCGGCGACGGCGGCCGAGCGACGGGCGACGAAGGCCGCGGCCGAGGGGCAAGGCGGGCCAGGGCGGACCGACGGTAAGGGAGCAGGCGACGGCACCGAGGAACTTAAGCAAAACCGGCGCGACAACGGGGGCCCGAGACCGAGGTGAAACCCGGCGCGAAGCCAGTAACCGCGCAGACGCGAAGCCCAGGAACCGACGCCGAGGCGACGCGAAGACGAGCCAGAGGGCCGATGACCGCGCGGAAGACCCGAGCGCGGAGGGGGGGCGGAGTGGCGAAAACCACGCGCACATCGCAACACGCAAACAGAGAACAACAAAACGCTGGGGACCATGCCCGCAAGGCAGAACAATCGCGACGCGCAACTTCCCTCCCGAAACCCCGCGCCCGCAGCGGGGTGCGCTCGGGGTCGCGCGTCGCCTCGCTTCGAGACTTCGCGCGATTCGTTCGTCGTCGATGCTACCCGTAGTGGTCAAGTGGTAAGTCGGCGTCACCGAACCTGCTGCCAGGCTCAATGTTCGCAGTGCATCGAACGTAATGACGTAGAGCCGTGCTGGACATGCCTATGTTCGAAGTAGGCATCCTGTTGGTAGTAGGGGTCGATGTGTTGGTATCGGTTGGTCCAATGCTGGATATCATCTCGCAGAACTAGCCACACAAGTAACCAGCTATCAGAAAAGGCGTCATCGGAGGGTGGTAAGCCCTAAGGCTGATGTAGACGCAGATGCGATCTTCTCCTCTACACAATACTAACCAGTGCCATGTCATGATGCTGGCTGATCATACCGTGGTGCCAACGCCGTGAGCCAGAACGGTCGCGGATGCGCTCGCTCCTCCCCGCCGCCTTTTCCCCCACCAGAACTCACCCGTATGTTTGTTTGTTTGTTTGCTTGTTTGTTTGTTTGTGTGTGCGCGTGTTGTGTCACAACGTCGGTCCACGGAGGTCGGGACCCCTTCTTCCCAGGACCAGGTTGTCATCCCGGGCCGTTTCTGGACAGTCCAACGGCCCAGTGAGGGTCCCGTGGAGGCCGAACGTGGCCCCAGACCCTCTGCAGTTTTTGGTTTGTTCCCAACCATCCTCCTGTGGTGTTGGGTCCTCGTTTTGAGATAGCACCCCGCGTCACTCCTCCTCCCGGTGCCCCCTCGTCCCTCCTCCCATACTCCCCTACCCCTCGCGAGAACCGTGACCCCATAGGGGGTAGAGTCCCGAGCAGTCTCTCATATGGGTCTCTCCATATGTAGAGTCTCCGATATAGGTTCCCCATACGGTCTCCGCAGGGTCAATGGCCCCGATAAGGCCCCACCATAATCAAGCCCCCCGCGCAGGGGCACCCCACAACTGGTATACCATATCAGATAGAGAACCGCTAGACTGGCCAAGTAGTGTGGCAGGTTGGACAACATGAAATCAACGACCACCTTGTATAAGTCCCGCTATGTCGTAGATCGTAGGCAAACACCTAGCTATCCACGCCGAACCATGCCAAAATCATCTCAGCAGGGGCTTCCAGGGACACCGTATTGAAAACACGAGACATCGCAAGTCTGGGCTTGCTTTAAGGCCACGGGGCCTCGGTCGGCCCCTCGGGACGATCCTGGCACTGGGACTCTCGGGAGGGCTCTCGGGGAGGCGCAGCTGCCAGAGGGCATCCCAATGCGAGCATAACCTCCAGGAATCAACGAATATCGAGGACGCCGGCGGCGCATCACCGGCCGCTCCCTGGGAGTTTTTCGAAGAGGTGCGCAGCATCGAAAGTCGTGACGCGGCGCGTATGCCAGCTATCAAATAGCCGTCGCCCCATCCCGCCACCGTGCTTGGGTTTTGGGTCGGACGGAGTCCTCATGGAAGCTTCCTGGGGTCTCTCGAGAGGGCTCTCGGAGGCTTCTGCGGGGCAGTTTAGGGGCCTCTTGGGGGCGTCCCAGGGGCTTCTTGGAGACCTCTTGAGGCCCTCTTGGGGCCTCTTGGGGCTCTCTTGGGGTTTGTTGGGGGCCTCCAGGGGGCCTCTTAGGGTCTCCTGGGGCCTCTCGAGCCGAAAGCTCGACATGTTCATTCGGGTACCCCTTCTGGGCCTCCTCTTGGGGCCATCCTGGGACCCCTCTTGGGCCGTTCCGGGGGCCTCTTGGGCGGTCTTGGGGCCCTCTTGGGCCGTCTTGGGGCCGTCTTGGGGGCCTGTTGGGCCGTCCTGGGGCGATCTGGCGGGCCTCTTGGGCCGTCGTGGAGCGTGGGTAAGCCGAAATGGCGTGAACGTGTAAATCCTTCAAAAACCATTGAAAAATCCATGATTTTTGCTTCTCGGGGCTGTCTTGGGGGTGCTCTTGGAGCCCTCTTGGGCCGTCTTGGAGGCGTCTTGGGCCGTCTGGAGGCCATCTTAGGCGTCTTGGAGCGATCTAGAACCGTCTGGAGGCTCGCTTGGGCCGTCTTGGGGCTCTCTTGGCCCGTTTTAGGGCGCTCTTGAATCGCCCCCGGGCGCCGGAACTGTTCAGGGAGGGGGGGTCCGCCGGCAGAGTGGGGCCCCCTCGGAGGGACTTTCAGGAGGGCTTTGACCAGCCACTGGCGAAGGAAGGGGAAAGATAGTGCCGAACACTTTGTCAGAGAGGTCTCGCACGGCCCAACCCGCAGGGCGGGAGCGGCCGGATCCGTAAGGGCTTCGCCCTCTGCCGCCGGCCCCCTCTCTCGGAGAGTGGGCCATGGAAGAACGAAGCCATGAGGCTTTGGCTTCACCGTGAAGCAGCGTCGCAACTTCATGCGAAGACGATGGGCGATTCGCAAGACAAATGGAGATTGCGAGTCTATTGTTGTACTCGCTGTTGTATAAATTTCAACAATGTCGCAAATCCCATGTGTTTTTGGACCCTGGCCCCGCCGATCTGCGTGAGGGGTGCCAGCAGATTTTAAGAAATGTAGCAAATCCTGTATGTTTTTGGGCCCTGACCCTGTCGATCCGCGTGAGCGGTGCCACCGAATTTCAGAAGTGTTGAGAATCCCGTGGGTTTTCGGACCCTGACCCCGCCGATCTGCGTGAGGGGTGCCATCGAATTTCAGAAATGTGGCAAATCCCATGTGTTTTTGGACCCTGACCCCGCCGATCTGCGTGAGGGGTGCCAGCGAATTTCAAACATGTGGCAAATCCCATGTGTTTTTGGACCCTGACCCCGCCGATCTGCGTGAGGGGTGCCACCGAATTTCAGAAATGTTGAGAATCCCATGTGTTTTCGGACCCTGAGACCGCCGATCTGCGTGAGGGGTGCAAATTCTTACCAACCCCAGCAATTCAGACAACACGCTCAGGGCGTGCTAAAACTGCCCGTTTGGGCCTCCCCCCCCTCGCGCGGTCCATCAACAAGGAATAGTAAGTAGCAAGAAGCAGAACTGTAACAGTGGAAACTGGAAGCTGCAACTGGTACAGGAACTGCGAACCTTCGGCCTACAGCCTGGTGGCCCCGCAAGGGGGCCGGCGGATTTCCGAAACTAGGCCTCCTTGCCTTGAACCATGACGGAAACGGGTCCTGAGGAGAAAGCGTCCTAGACCCTGGGTCCTTCTCCCGAAGACCATGTTTTCATCCCGAAGGCGTCTTGTGACATTCACCCAGGCCCGTGGAGGGCCCAGGGAGCCGGGAAACAATGAAAACCGCACGGCGACCTTTGGAGGACGAACAACATGACGATACTGCTACTCACCAGGCCTGCAGGGGTGCATCCTGACCAGAATTTGAACCCAGGGCAGCGGCATCGGCATCGAAGGAAGGGCCGACGACGAAGAAGACGACTCCGCCGCCCGACGCGCCCTCTGCCAAGGGCCGCTGAATCAGCTTCTCGTGCGCGCTGGGGACTTTCCTTAAGCCGGTCGCTTCATGCCTGGATCCTGGGTCGAATGTCCCTCGACTTGGCTTGAACTCGAGTCGAACTTGAACCGAACTCGAATCGAACTTGAATTGAGCTTGAATCGAGCTTGAGTCGAGCTAGTGGCGAACAGATCCGTCAGGTGCGCCCCAGGAAGGCCCCCGAAACGAAAATAAGAGCCGAGGGCTGCCAAACCCAAACATCCGACGTCGTGATTTTTGTTCACATCGTGCCTCCCGAGAGATATCGACCCCTTCCCTGGGACCGGCTTTTCATCCTGAGCTGTTTTCTGACCGCCCTGGAACCGGGCCGAAAATGGCCCAAAGCAGTCCGTCTTGATCTTTTACCACAGCCTGAGAAAGTCTGCAAAGCAAGGAAAAAATACGTAGACTTACACTTTCGGAGGTCTGCGCGGATTTCCTGTATCGGCACAGAACGCGAAGCGCGCCAGGGGCGGCGCCAGAGGCGCCGCCAGTTGGACCCAACGCCGACCCAAGAAACCTGCGCGGAACTTCAATCGTTGACGCTTGTGCCGTCTTTTGCGCTTTGGGGTCTCAGGGTCGCCCTCGGCCTGCTTCCTCTTGAGGTCTTCGATGCTCTTCAGAAGCAGTGGGGGGGTCTGCGCTGGAGAGGCCCCGAAAAAGTCGGCCAAGAGGGGGGGACGAAGGGCGGCGCCGGAGGCGCCGCCAGAGAGACCCAACGCCGACCCAACAAATCCGCAAGGACCTCCGCAAACGATTCTGCTCGTGGCAATTTTCATTGTCGAAAGGGGCCGCCGAGCGCAGCGACCGGCCTGCTCCTTCGCGAAGCCCTCCAGGCCCCACTCGGCGACCATCGCGGGCGGCAGCGTTGCCTCGAGGACCGGCGGGACGTCGAACCTGTGCCGCCGCACCTCGACGGGGTCCACCCCTTCGATCCTTCGTTCTTTCGGTCCTCGATCCTTCCCATTCTCGCTCCCGGGAGCTGGAACCTCGATGTTCGATGCTCGATCATCCAGCCTCGATCCTCCGGTGCTCTCCTCCGCATCCCTCGAGGGTCGAAGGACCGATGTGCTTGGACACTTCCAGCCCTTTTTGGGGGCAATCGTGGGGCGCCCTCGTCGCCGTCGCTGGGTTCGCCTCGGGAGTCTGGTCAGGAGTCTGGGAGGGGTCTGGGAGGCGAGCAGAAGCAGATTTGCGCTGCGCGGGAAAAAAAGAACAGTGGGTATGCGGTCTGAACCTCGGCCCCGTTGGGGTCGCTACTCGGGCCCCAGTGCGAGAGAACGACGAGGGGGGGCCCGCTGGGGCAGGGATACATCGAGTTGGTATCGGCGATACATCGCCGACAGATCCCTGAGAGCAACTGCGGAAGTTCCTGGGCGGGGCGGGCTTTCGGGCACATGTCGGCGATGAATGGGCGATTTGGGTTCGATGCGTCCCCCGTGAGCCCAGTCCCCCCATACGAGCCGCGCCGCCGATGTATCGTCGAAGTTGCCGATGCATCGCCGATGTACTGTCGATGCGGCGCGATCCCCCGACCCAATCTACTCCGACCCTATCTGGGAGGCCCAAACTGTCAGAAACAAAAATCCTGAGCAGAAGCCGAAACTTCGATTCTCCGCTTCGATCCTCCCGGTACCCGTGGTGTGGGGACAACAAGCGACCACAACCACATCAAGGACACACCGTGAGGGATGTCTTGCGCATGCCAACAATCGCCAGAACGCCCAATGGTTGTGGTCGATCTGGGCGCCCCAGGACGGCCAAATCGACCACAACCAATTCCAAAGAGTTTGCGCCGAGGTCGGCGGGGTTTTACCCATAAGGGGCCTCCAGCTGAATCCATTTACAAGTGGTTGCGGGTCTTTGTCCCTGATCCCCGCGACGCCTCCCGCAGGGCGGCCCGCAGCTCCACCCTCGCGGCCTCCTGGAGCTCGCGGAGGGCGGAGACCTTCTCCACGTCTTCCTCTGGGACCGTCTTCCCTGTCACGGCCGCCACGTGGCCCGGGTTGTCCTCCAGGGAGGAGGGCGGGGAGGAGGAGGGGAAGAGCTAGGAACCAGCTCCAGGCCCAGGCATGCCTGCGCCGCCAAAGGATCACGGGAGGGTCTTCGCTGCTTTCAGCCTTCGCGAGGCCTCGCCTGGCCCTGGGGACAGAGTCGGGACTGCCAGGGGCCCCATATTGAGAAACTCGAGACTGTGGCCGCACACGGGAAAAAACCGCATCGGCAGATGACAGGGGAGGTCTTCGCGGGAACGACTGTGTAAACGCTATCAAACCCGGCGTAGGGGCCCTCGAGCCGTCTCACGCCCAAAATTGTGCGGGATGAAACTGGATCGTTTCAGCCGGATTCAGCGGGATGGGGTTGGAGCAGGAGGGATGTTGAATTTCACCTCTCAGAAGTTGACGCTGAGGAGGCCCCGGCAGGCGCCCCTCAAGGCGCTCCCCCCAAGAAGAACGCGGACCATCAAACAGCGACCACACCGCCGAAGCCCCGCCGCGGGAGGGCTCATGACCCACTATATCCGACACCATCCTGGAGCGGCGGGAAGGCCAGGCGACCGCTGCGCACTGGAGGCAAGCAAGGGCGCAGCGGTGGCGCAGCGCCTGGACAGCCACACTTGGGAACAAGGGGGAATGAAGGGAACATTGGCGGTAGCAGGGAGGGAGAAGGAAGTCGACGATGGGCGGAGGGCGCGCAATCCAGGAGGGCGCGCGCCTCGGCAGCGCCCTGCAGGGTCCAATTTGCCGCGGGGCGCTGAGAGCCACACCAGAGAGCGTCGCGGGGAGGCGCGGGGCCGCCCCCCTTGCGACCGAACCTGACGAAAACAGGCCACGGCACAACGCTACGCGAAGCAGCCGCGCGATCGTGAGTGGAAGAAGCCAGCTGGCTGATGGCGCCACGCGGCCACTCGCATCAACAAAAGGTGCACCGGGGAAATTACGCGACGCCGCAGGCACGACAGGCGACAGAGTTACAACGGCTGCAAGCGCATGCGCACGGCTGTATGCGCGAGTATCCACCGCCCGCAGGGGCGCGCCGTGCTTTGGGACTCCACCGCGGGTTGACTCTATCATTACCTCATTGGCCTCTTCTGTCCCGTGTTGTCTGTGGTCTCGCCTGTCGTTTCCTGCATCTCGCCCTGCCCAAACACGCGCCGTCTCAAGTGCGGCGGCGAGTGAAGGGGGCAAGTGAGATGAGTTGGAGAAGTGTTCGTTCAGAGGCCTCCCCCGAAGACACGGAAAGCTTCTCAGACGGCGCGAGGGCTTCCGAGAAGTCCTGGCGCCTTCTGAGAAGGCCTTCTCCTTCTCGTTTCCCCCTCGCTCGCCGTCGATCTCGGGTGCCGGCGCCGCACTCCCGCGGCGACCCCCCGAGAAATTACGGGCGGCACGCCTCCGCGCCCCAGCCGCCGCGCGCTGCACTGGGGCCCCCTCGAGGCGCGGCGGGCGGCCAACAAGGCCGAACAGAAACAGGAGGAGGAGAAGGAGGAGGAAGGGGCGGGGGAGGAGGGGGCGGGGGAGGAGGGGGAGGGGGAAGAGGAGGAGGAGGAGGGGGAGGAGGAGTAGGAGTAGGAGTAGTAGTAGTAGTAGTAGTAGTAGTAGTAGTAGTAGTAGTAGTAGTAGTAGTAGTAGTAGTAGTAGTAGTAGTAGTAGTAGTAGGAGTAGTAGTAGGAGGAGGAGGAGGACGAGGAGGAGGACGAGGAGGAGAGTCCCAACGGGGATGTCCGATGCCCCACCGTCGCCTGGACTTGATCCGAAACGCGCGAGGGCCCAACATGGCCGCGCGCGGCCACACGACTTCCCCCGAGGTCCCGAGAGAACGATTTCGAGAGGACCCAAGCAAACAACAGCAACACAAACCTGAACGATACCAACATGCCCACTCCGAACCCACAACGCAAACCTGAGGACCCAAACAAGAAAAGTCACTGCGAACATAAAACCTGAACGATTCCAAATTTTTGGATGCGTTCGGCCTGCCCTGTTCCGGCCTCGCCGACGGTTCGATATGGTTTCAAGACGGTTCCCAGAAACACCGAAGTATCTTCGAGGACTGCCAAGATGGGCCCCCTGGCGGCCTCGCCCCTGAAAACGGCTCTGCAACAGCCCCGACGCGCCCCCAACCGTCCACCAGATGGCCTCCAAAGGCTGGCTCCCAGGCCAGCGCGGCCCCAACACAGACAGCGACGTACATGTCGTCATCTGACATATCGTTATGGCCTCAGCAAATGCCTGCATGCGAGGCACAACCCGCCTGTGACTGCCTCGTTTCGGCCCCGAACCGCGGTTATCGAGCATTGGGATTGTGGCGACCAACGTGTGCGATGAGGACGACGAAGACATTCGCAAATTCAATGGTGATGATAATGACGATGATGATGACGATGACGATGACGAGGATGATGATGATGCTGATGATGTTGATGTTGTTGATGATGATTGTGATGCTGATTATGATGAGGATGATGATGATGATGATGAGGATGATGATGATCATGATGATGAAGCTGATGGTGGTTACGAGGGAGTCGGCGGCGACGACAAGGAGGCCAAAGACTTGCTGGGCACTACGAATCTTGCCCCCATGGCTTGCTGGTGCTACAGGGCCAAGCCCTACGGGCCCACCGAAACAGCCGCCACACAGCCGCCACGCAGCGGCGTCACACTCGCCACACAGCCGCCACGAAGCGGCGTTACATTCGCCGCACAGCCGCCACACAACCACCACACAATCGCCGCAGCAGCCGCCGCCACCCCGCGGGCTGGAACCCACGCGGCCACCACACAGCCGCCACACAGCCGTCACACAGTCACCGCACAGCCGCAGCGCAACCGTCGCACAGCCAAGGCTTTTCGGTTCCCCGGGCCTCACAATGAACCCCCATGGTTTACATCGACAAAAGAGAAAAACCTCGTGGAGTGCATTCACGAGACGGTAGAAAAAACAAGGACGACAACCACGACGACGACGGAAGAGCATGAAGAGTACGAGAGGGCCGACAAAAAAGGCGGAGGGCGACTGCGGAGAACGGAAGGAATACGAGGAGGAGGAGGAGGAGGACGAGGAGGAGGTGGGATGGCGAAAGACACAAGGAATCTGTACAAGAGAGGAATAATATACTAATAAGCGAAGACGAAGGCGGAGGAGGAGGAGGTGGAGAAAAGGACGATGAATGAAATTTGAAAATGTTGTTCTTGACGAGTCAGGAAGACGGGTGGGTATGATGTTGGTGAGCGTTTCAACAACAAATGTCGCACAACTCCCGCGGCTTGCGTCAACCACTACGGCCTCCGGAAGTATCACGCGGACGAAAAACGCGCCAACAACGAATTATGTAACAGGCTGTGGATACAGAAGGTTATCACCCCAACCTTCACAAACACCGCTTCCAGGAGCCCATGTGCCCCGCCCGACTCGACAGGGTTATGCCTACCATCAAAGGCACCAACAGCGCGCTACAATCCTCGTCCTCTTTTTCCCCCCACTCCTCCTTTTCCTTTTCTTCCTCGCCCTCTCCGTCGTCCTCCCAACGTGTTCCCCCCAGCTTTTCCACGACGGCTAAGGAAACGCATTCTCCTGATCGCGCGGCAGACGAGCGGTTTCCGCGCGGGCGCGCGCGACGGGCGGCACCGCTCAGGCAAACTAGGTCAACGTTTGGTCGCCCGCGAGGGCGAGCTAGCAACGCCGCAGGCCAAAGAAGATTGGGAGAGGGGGGAGGGGGCCGAGAGGCTGCAGAGACCGCAAGGGCGAATCGCATGAGAAAACGATTTCCCCAATCGCGCGGCAGAGGGCGGTTTCCGCGCGGGCGCGCGGAACGAGCGCACGACCGGCCCCACAAAGGCCAGGGGCCGACGCGCGCGCGCGCGCGATGGGCGGCACCGCTTAGGCTGACTAGGTCAACGCCTCGCCGCCAACGAAGGCGAGCTAGCCAACCCCAGGCTCAAACAACTGTGTATAATATACAATATTTCTCGATATCCTCGGATAAAAAGCCAAAGCTGCCCAGGGACCCGAGCAACCCGCGGACCAGAGCCGAAGCCAACGCCGCACACAGCTCGGGCCCCCAATACATAAAGGAGGAACTTCGTAACATCTTGAAGGTCGACAAAACTGTTGCCGTACTCGATCGGCAGGGTGGGCAGCTCGCCGAGGTGGAAGCACCGCAGCACCAAAACTCACACCCGACACGCAAGACTCCAAACCATAGCCCATAGCCAGAAGATGCAGACATGTCCGCGCGGCACCTCCAAGGGGCGGTGGGCCCCTCTCCTCGGGGCTGCCGTCGTTCTGGACCCAGAGCTGGCGAGACCCGCCTCCGTCCTGGGGCCAGGCGCCGACGGCAACGTCACTTCTGACTCCCGCCTCCTCTCCCGCCTCCACCACGCCTCGGTCTGGACTTCAGCGTGCCCCGCAACGATTGCCCGCCCTTGGTCTGGGAACTCCTCGCCTACTCTATCGCGACTGACCATGACGGGTCCGTCCAAAACAACAACGCGGCGACCGCATGGATGAAATCTGGCGGTGCCAGGTCGGTGAATGATAGCACGTACTTCCAAGTTATGTCCTCCTTCGGCTTGTTGCATCTCGATGAGTATTCTCCCATCCATATGTTAAACATAACAATCTCGGCGTTCCTCGGACCTTGTACAACTACATGCGCGTTCTTCACTTTCACGTCGCCTGGCTGCTTCTTCGCCTGATATTCCAAAACCGACTCCATGAACGCAAGAGAAGGAATCAAAGCCCAAGTGGCCTTAGTCAGTTTCAGCGAATGCTTCGGGGAAGTCGCGTTTTTTTGTATATATATATATATTGTTGTTCTTCGGGGGGGGGTATATATATGTATATATATATATATACATATATGCTCCGTAACCTATGGTTTCTGCTTGTCCCACTCGTCCGCCACCATCGCCGAGAATGCGCTCGCTTGATCGTTGCTCTTGAATACGATGACAATTTGCTTCGATGCAAGAGTCGCCCCCCGCCGATGCCTTGAGATTGAAATAGTCT